GGGCGCGAGCAGCTGCAGGCGGAGGCCAGCGAGCGCTTCGCCGCGGGCTACATCCAGTGCATGCACGAAGTGCACACGTTCGTGTCCACGTGCCAGGCCATCGACGCCACCGTCGCCGCCGAGCTCCTGAACCACTTGCTGGAGTCCATGCCGTTGCGCGAGGGCAGCAGCTTCCGGGATCTGCTGGGGGACGCTCTGGCCGGGCCCCCGGGAGCCCCTAGGAGAAGCGGCTGGCTCACGGGAAGGGCCCTGGGGTCCCCGCTACCCAGCCCCCTAGCCCCCGCGGACGACCTGTGCTCCGACCTGGAAGAGGCGCCCGAAGCTGAACTGAGCCGCGCACCTGCGGAGGGGCCAGACTTGGTGCCCACGGCCCCCGGCAGCCTGACCTCTGCCCCAGGAGCCCAGAGCATCTGGAGGCCTTGGTGACCAAGGCCAGCCCGCTCTGCGCAGGTGGGCCCAGCCCCCCCATGTCTAGCTCCTCCCTGGGTTCCAGGCGTGGTGGGCAGGGTCTGCTGTCTCCCAGGTCTGCGCCTCCCTCGAGTAGTGGATGCCTGTAGGGAGGTCCCGGAGGACCAGCCCAGTCAGGCCCCGAGCCCTTTCCTTAAGAGTAACTTTTACAGACCCCACAGTCGTCCTCCCCTTTGCCCGCTGTGGGTGGAAGGAGGGAGCTACCAACCAGGCTCGGCGCCTTGGCCTGCCCCAGCCCTCTCTGGCGCTGTGCAGATCTGGGCACAGAGGTGACGGGAGTGGTGCTGAGCCTCTCCTCAGGGCAGGGCCCTAGTGTTGGGGCAGAGGGAGACCCCAGGCCCTGACCTGAGCAGAAGCCAGGACAGGGAAGGCAGGTGCCGAATTGCCCACAGCTGCCGGAGAGAAGCAAGGCTTTCTGTATGACTTGCCTTTAGCACACTTTTCAGTGTTAGGTTGCTATCGAATGTTCCAATTCTACTAAATAAAGGATTTTGGAGAGTTAGTTACCCTTCTGAAGTATTACCGAATGAAACGGTGTCATTTATGTGTCAAATATGAAAATACTAAGCACATTTTTCCTGTATCTAATGCTCACCCTTTGTCAGCAGAGCAAGCAGTGTAATGGCAGTGGAGACGGGACACGCCGTCTCACAGTGGACTGTACTTCCCCCCCACTATTGCCGGGCAGCTTTGGATGGGTTTCCCCTGTAGGTCCTCAGGCCTGGCCTGCTCTCCCTGGGCTTGTGTGCAGCCTGGAGATTGGAGACCCCATGCCAATGATATCCAGAGTAACCAAGCAACAGGGAAACAGCCTGACCCTGGACCATTCTCTGGTTCATAAGCTCCCAGGAGTAAACTAATGCCTAATTGCTAGCCAGGTGCTTTGGAAGCTTTTCAAAAACCTGTGCTAGGCCCTGGCCGGTGCGGCTCAGTGGTTAGAGCATCATCCTGTGCACCGAAGGCTTTCAGGTTTGATTCCCAGTCAAGGGCTTGTACCTCGGTTGCAGGTTTAATTCCCAGCCCCAGCTAGGGCGCATGTGGGAGGCAGCCAATGGGGGTGTCTCGCATTAATGCTTCTCCCTCCCTCCTTCCCTC